CAGGTGGCTCGTGGGGATTGGAGCTTGGGGTTTTGAGGCGTTGAACCGGTCTAGGGTTGGTGCCAGAGCTTAGGCTTAAGGCTTTGGGCGTGGAGGTTTGAATTAGACAGTGTGTAGAGAGAAGGCTTTACAGTGAGGTCTTCAGGATTTTAGGCTTGATTTTGCCGAAGGTCTCGAGAAGGATTGTGCTGTTTACGGAACACCCCCCAATTGCGGGTTGGAGAGTTAGGGGCTTATGCTTTCGGGCCGAGGTATTGCGGAGTTTAGCCTGTAACCGCGTTTAGCGTATGCCTACAGCCGTCTACACCGAAGCCCTGCAACTGCCTTTAGCTTGCCAGAGGGTCCAAGTACCCAAACAGCAGGGCGCTCTTTGTCCTCCAATGGCGTGTGGCCCCACGTTTGGCATTGCTTTTCTTCGAATAATCATATGCTGCAGATGAGCATCGTCTCAGGCTTTCGGCCTTTTCAGCGGCTTTGCGGCGTAAGCATGCAGTGCGATTGGAATCTAGGTGGACTGTTGGCACAGGCTTTCTGGGTTGCAGGAGCCGAGGGTGGCTACTTCAGAACTCACCTTCTTTCGGACTTAGTGATCTCTGGAAAAACTGTTTTGGGCTCAGGCTTGTTCATTTGGTGCAGGGTATACAAGCGACCCCAGATGACGCGGCCCGAAGCATGTCGTGCCAAAAAATTGCAGCACTAGCACTACAAATCCGCCAGTGTAGCCCAGTCCTCATCCGGTCGTTCCTCTAAATAGAGATTCCTTAGGTGGCGCCGGAGAGTGGGTCGAATAATCCCTGAACCCTGAACACCCGTAGTATAGATCAACTTACCTGTCTGCATAAGGGATAACCTAACAAATCAACTGCCCTCTGCTGACGAAGGTGCTCGTCACGCCGCTTGAAAAACTTTTCAAGCAGGGCGTGATCGTCGAGCGTTTTCCATGTTGAGGTGCGACTTGCCATAGCTGAATCGGACACCAAGTAGCAGGATCCAAGTTCCAAATACCCTTGATTCATTGAGTCATGGAATCCCCAGCCTTTACGAATCCCTCCTTAAAACATTAGAAGGACCCCTGACTTAAAGAACCCGTTGGTTCTTCAAGCCAGCCTTTTTTGCAGTCTCTGGGACTCGGATGCAGCTTAGTAGCTAACGTGTTAGATCGAGCCTTTCCTGTCCCAGGCGCTTGTGGGGTGATGGGACTAAGTAACTAAGGTTGTACATAAGATAGTTCTAATTGTAGTTATCCACAGGCCCAAGGTAATCATCACCTTACTTGCTTTCCAAGATCCTGCAAGTGGGGCTTCAGAGTAATGGTTGAGGGTTTAGGACTGTGATGTTGACGGTGGACGTACCTACCGCCCTGAAGCCCGACAGCCCGGTTCTAGGGTTCACGGTCGGAGCCACAGCCGACTGCCTGCGCGCGATCCAGTCCAGATCTGGACAAAGCCCTGAATCGCTGAGTGTGCTTTGCCGAGGCATTCAGCGTCGAGAGGAGGCATCTGCAAGGCTGAAAGCAGCTTTGGCCGTGGCGCCAGAAAAGCCACAGGGGCTTGAATAACAAATCAATAGTACACTGAATGCTCTGCTACTATTCCATAGGGATTGACGTAATCATGGCATAGGAATTGTACCCCAGAGCTCACTCCAAATATTGTTAGGGCTACTACGGAAGCACCGTGAGGCAGCGTTCTTACCTGTTCCTTGCTTGGAAGAATAGTAGACCCCGGCGCCCCATCCGGTTTGATCGCGGCTTTGGCGAAGGCGGATGTCATTGCGGCATTGCACTCGCATTCTTCGTTCCAGAGTTCCTCGTGATTTCTCGTGAAGCATCATCATTCCTGCGACCCGGAACTCCAGGCGGCCAATGCTCAGCAGAAGCTTCATCCAATCACAGCGTTTGCCCCCGCCCCCATCCTCGGCGATATTCCGATGCAGATCTCATGCAAGAAAGCCTGTAACCGTCATTCATGCGCCCAATTTGAAAAACATCGCTGCTGGTTTGGTACAGAACGCATAGAACACAAGCCATGAGGCGAACCTTCCCACCAACTCCTTGGCACGTACACTGTATCGGCAAGAACAAGCCTTGTCAGGTTGTTTATCCGACGGGCCTCAACGACGTTCGAGGATCAAGGCCATGTGCTCAAACATGGCTCCGTTTGCTTTGGGCTAGAGCTTAGGGTACTGCATGATTATGATTTCGGGACAATAATGAACAAACACGAAGAGTTTAACTTTGCAGAGAGGGCTTCGTTTTGTTGATCAACTCTCTGACTGTCTTGTCCTTTGCATATGTTCGTGCGCGGCCAGATGCTTTTCACACGAGCTTTGAAACCTTCAATACACCAAAAACACACGGCGGCATCCCTACATCATGAAAGCTTACAAGACAAATTCTAGCTAGCACAGGCAGCGGTTCTCACAAGAAGGGCCAGACCCAACAGTGAGGGGAGCGGGTATTAACACGTTCGCAAGAGAAGCAGACGCAGACGAAGCGAATCAGAGTCCTTGCCAGGTTGTGCCCTCTGCAGCACCCTGGCACTGGACACGCGAGCGCCACAATCGTTGGGAAAAGACTAGTGTCAGTCGTGCCAGTTGCAGTGTGGCTTGCTGGTCTGGCGGAATGCAGCAGCCAGCTTGACAAAGTAACATGGATCATGTATCTTCCCCGAAACATTGTCGGAGGATCAACGGCCAATAATTTCAGCTTCAAGGGTCCCATCATTCCCCTGATCGAGTCCGCAGCCCTTGACACGGACTGGGGGTTTGTGTGCCGAAAGGCTGGCCACCACGAGAAGTCGTTAAGTTCTATATAGTGGTGATGGTGATTGGCGATGATGCTGATGATGCTGACTTGGTGACCAAGACGGTGAACGCGGAGATGACGGTACGCGCGCAGGTGCGACCTAGCCTGGTGGTGATGGTGGTGATAGGCTTGCTGCTTGTGATGCCGATTAGGGCTATCATGACCATGGGGTCTTGGGCATGAAAACATGAGAACTTTCAACAAGGATGTGATCGGTGTCTGACGGTTGCGACTACCAGAGCTTGAGCAATGGCATGGTAATGACAAGAATGAAAATCACGCGATGATGATGACGTTGAGGTCGGACACGTCGACTTCGTCCGAATCTTCTGCGCAAGGTGTTCTTTTGTTTGGCAGCGCGTCGCAATTTGTTTGTGGAGTTTCTGATGTCGGCATTGCCAGCTTTTGCTTTGTTTCAGTTAAGCCGGGTCTCTTCAAGCACAAACAATCCAAATGAAGCTGCGACTCAGGGCAAGTTGGCACGGTCAAGTTCGATATTGCCGCGGTTGTTTCTGATGCCATGCTCTTGCATCTACAGTACCGCGTTAGAGTGGAGTGCTTCTGCAAGCTTTTTGGCTCAGTGGGCAAGAAACATAGGTTCATGGTAGAGTAAGTTTGTCCACTGCTAAACCAGAAGTCTACATGCCACGAATAAGGCACTGCAGCAGCCATGATTGCGGGCGCTTCATATTGAATCCTCAGTTGGAGCCTTTACTGCTTTACTCTTAAGACACTGCATAATCGAGGCCAGGTGCAAGCCCAAAAACTTAACCGCGTTGGCGCTCAACTGTAGCTGCCGGTTTCAAGGCCTTGAAACTTGAAGTCGGGGTGGTTTCGAATGCACAAGTTTGGCAGGGCAGGCTAAAACTTTCGGGAGCCCACAAGTCCAGGGTGGCGATACCATATGCTGTGTGTGGAGGCTGTTCGGCGATCCGAAACAGTTTTAGACCCAGCTGCCGTTGCTTTCCTCAGCAGTCGGAAGTTGCCCGAACGTGTTTCACTTGATGAGTTCACACCGAATCCCTCGCAGGAACCATGTCCATTGTGGAGGCACGCCACTCAACGCAGCCATGGCTACACTTGTTTGGACTTTTCCTGTTTGCCATATTGCCATCTTTCGGTCCATTTTCGGTTTTTCTATAGTTGATGAGTTTAGCTGAGTGAGGTCTCGACTGTCACGTGCCAAGCTGCCCTGGCGAAGCGAAGCCCTGCTTTCAAGCCAAATTGTGGAGGTGTCAAAGCGCATGTCTGCTGCAGTGGCGAAGGTGGCTCTTGCAGGGTGCTTGCTTTGGGACCCTGGGACCCTCTGCTAGTTCTACCACCACCTCGGTGCACTCTGCGTGGCTGTAAGATTGTCTATAAGCGGGTCCAGGTGTGTTTGCAGCATGCTGTTGGTACTGCAACTTGAAGTATCAGCACAAGAGAGTAACGCGATGATCCGTCGAATCATCCTGATGTGGACATGTCTTCGGCCGTTTCATGGTTTAAAAACTTGGTACAGGGTTTTCTATCGTCCCACAGCTCTTAGAGAAGAACTCGAAGCCTGAAAGCCGTTTGGGAAATCACCTAATTGTTTGGCACGGCAGCTTTGATCCAAGCCTTGGCTGACGGGAATTGTAAAGTCAGGATGCTTGCTTCTTGCTGGTGATGCATGAAAGGGAGGCCTGATGCGTGCCAAGACTCAAGAACCCTAAACCCAAGACCTGCAGGAGACTGTCGTCCACGTACCGAAACTCCATACCCAGACACGGGTGATGCATGAGCACGTGGAGCAGGCGATGGTCCGATTATGTTCCTAGATAGTTTTAGCTTCAGCTTTGTGTGTTTAGGGTAAGGCGGAATCACAGCACGTTGTGGCACCTGTCAGGAACGGCCAATATACAGCATATTCTGCACGGTATAAGATAGAGTACATAAGATATGATAGAGCAAGTGCGACATCCGTCAGCTCCAAATTCCGAGATCCCCTCACCCTTTCAGCCGCGATCCCTTCAATAACAATCTCGTTCCCAAGGTTCCGACATTTAATGTCGCTCAGAAGGTAAGCGCTCGAACCCTGGACCCCAGGGAAACTTGCAAGCTCGGAGCCTTGGCCCCTAGTCGTCCAAATCTCCCAGCCCTTGAAGCTTCGAATGCACCGAACCGCTCAGAGACGACCGACTCCTAAAAACGAACCCGGACCGTCAGCTTGAGAATGCCGCCTAGAAACTGCCCCGAGGGCGAAGTGCAGCACCCCGCGGTCAAGAAGGCGACGCAGGCAGAGCCTAAACCCATAAACCCCAAATCCTAAATCAGCCCACTAGATTAGATTTCAGGGCTTCTTGGGGTTTCATGTAAGGAACCCTGAATTAGGCTTCACTTGATGAGCTTGGTCTCGACATCTCGGAGGGTGGGTGTGACGGCTTGGGGCTCTGGGTTGAAGTAAAGTCTTTGCCAAGCCTGGTGCGAAAGATATCCTCAAGTTGAAGCGTGAGGATGAAGCAGCTTAATTTCAGGGTCTGAGGCTGTGTGTGTTTGTCTGGGGGAGGAACCAGACGACACCCAAGCCAGAAAAACTGCCATAAACCCCAAAACTGGATCACCAAATCCCCAAAGCCTGGCCCTCAAACTCCGAACCCGCAGCAGCAGCACTGCAGGTGTCCAAGGTGAATGTGGAGGAGGAGGTGGTTCGCGTCCCCAAGGCAGCTTGTGTCGCCGTTCAGCACGGAGACCATGTCAGTGCACAAGTTCCCACAGCTTTGTTGCGGGTTCCCTCGGTGCTTGCGTGAAGGAAGTGGTCCTGCGGCAAACTGCCATACGAAGTTGATGGCTAGAGCATGAGATCTATGAATCTATAACCCTTTCCGACCCCGTCAACAAACCTTCAATGGCGTACTCGCTCAGCCCGGACCCTCACCCATGAGTTTAACGTTGTAGGCTCGTCGATTTCTTTGTTAACTTTGGGCATCTGCCATCATGCTGAAGTGGCTGAAGAGTTTAGGTCGAGCTTGTATACTGGCACCGCTGTCATCTAGGGTTGAGGGTGCAGGATCGAGGGAGCCCGCAAAGCAGCCCTATAAATCTGATTTGGTAGCTCCTTCGAAGTGTCTGGACGTTGACTCGGGTGGGCCCGCACCCGTCCTTTTCGAACCCGAGCTTTAGCCTTGGTCCCCGAAGCCTCAACAATTACAACTACTTCTCCTGAAGGTTCCGTGCTGTGATTAAATTCTGGAAAATCTAACATTCTATAACACCCCAAACCTTATTTTGATTATTAAGTGCAAAAGTGACCCACCCCACAAAAAAAAGCTACCCACAACAACGGGCCAACCTCGGCCAAAACAACATGGAAAGAGCCCTAAGCCAAGGAACATCACCCAAAAGCCCCCAAGCAAGAAAGTCTCAATTCAATGCAAACCCTAAGCCCAAAAAACCCAACCACCCTGAACCCACAAAGCTCAAAGCCCAGTCAGTACGCCAGCGTTTCTGCTTGAGGCCATTTTGCGAGAAATGGAACATCTCGTGGACCAGGCTGCGATTGTGGGACTTTAGGGTTAAGGGTTCAGGGTTCAAGGGGGAATTTGGGGTGCATGGGTTCTCGGAGTTTAGTCAGGGCTTGGGATTTAGGGTACTTTAGCTTTGGGTGATTCAATTTGTGTTTCTGGGTCTAGGCTTCGATGCTTGTTGGGGCTTCAGGATTGAGGGCTGCTGCTTGGGAGTTGGAGCCAGGCATCAAGGTGTTGAGCTTAGGGATGTGGGAGCTGTGGCCTTGCTACTGCGCTGGGATTCTGGGACTGTAAGGCTTAGACATGTATACCGTTGAGTTCAGACATCATGCGAAACGGACCCCTGATATAGAAGCTTGAATAGTTAGCGACATACTTCCTGAGGGATCCGTATTGAATGCCAATGACTGCATTGAAATTTAACGATACCCTGTCCATGTTCCGAAGCAGATGTTGGGCACTACCTGCGCGTATGCACGGTAATGCTGTGTTCAGCAGAATCATGGGAAGCTTGTTGCCAGAGGCCCGATCGAGGTGACAATTGCTGAGGTTGCTTGCATTCTATGCTCCCGTTACTTTATTACAAAATCATACGAGGCGACTTCGGACGAGAACACAGGCTGTGCTCAGCTTGCCCGAAGTTGGTTGAGATCGCGCGGACGACGCGCAAACATGAAGACTATCATGGAAGGAGCTTGCCGAGACGAGACTAGAGTAAAAATGTACTTATGCGATGCTTATGCGCCGTGTTAGGATCCACATATTCCGTGCAACCTGAAGCATCTCTCTCCTTCCTTGCCAAATCGAAGTCTAATCAAGTTTCGGAGATAAAACTGCAGGTTCCCCAGTAGTACCCTTTTGCACTTTCTCTCTTCGGTCCCCGTTTTAAACCAGAATGGGAGGGAAAAGGTTACCGTTGTTACTCAGGGGCTATTGAGGAACCTAGAAACCTAAAGCCCCAAATCAGGGCGGCTGGACTCGGATTTCCTCCTTTTGCAGTGCGATCCCGAAGAAGTACAGTTGAGTTGTAAGGTGCAGTGGCCCTAGACCCTAAACCATAGGCCCCACAGAATCATACGACTTAGTAGCTGGGGTGATTGCCAGGGTAACTATACTGTTAGACTTGCGTGTAACTCCGTTTGAGGTACTTCAAAGCTTACTTACCAAGTCCCATCATCCTCCAAGTAGGGTTTAGTACTGAGTTTTGGACCATGCCCTAACGATCTAAGTTTCTGTGGTCCACCCCTGGTCCCTGAACACCCAACCAGCCACAGTCTAGGGTTAAGGGTTTAGGTTTTGCAGCCCCTATGCCCTACAGAAAGAAGCCACTAAACCCTGCGGGCCCAACTCAAGATCCCCGATGTTGAGGCCACGAGCCGGTGGGCGGAGATCTTCCGCGGCCGGGAGAAAGGCTGCAAGGTTTCCAGCTGCAAGCCGTTCAACCTTTGGCAGACAGTGTTTCCTCTGCCTCTCGTTCCCTCTATTTGTCTTCCTTCCCCCCTTTACTGTCATCAGCAGGCACAGAAGTATACATGTGTATACACATGTCTTTTGGCAGGTTCTCGACGGTTAGGCTCCGGCACGGTTGCTCGCGCTATAATAGGATCCATCTCCGAGTCTCCCTCCGCGGATATATCGAGCCCTGTGATCGAGAAACTGTAAGGTGCAATAAGGTTTCACCTGATCCGCAACTGAGGCTATCGCAGCAGTTGATCCTGGAGCGGCAGCAGCGTCTGGCTTTCCCACAAGAGGCCTGCCCTGCTGGGTCACACAAAACCCTCCGGGGCACTGCCGCGGAGTATATCATAATATATCATCGTGCAGTTTCGTATACTACAGCATATTACATATATATATATATAGATATATTTATATATATATACACATGTTCTAGTATGTCCTAGCAAATTCTAGTATAGAGTTGGGCCTGGGGTCTTTGGAGTTTGGCGGGTTAAGGATTTAGGGCTACCAGTCCTCCACCCATTCGGGGAACAACAAGTTTGCCCGAGATCGGACCGAATTACCCGACACCCTGAACCCAACGCCTTGCAGCCCGAGATGCCTCACACGAACTGAGCACCAAACCTGCAGCTCTCACCTGAGGCGTCCCAACCTCACTGCTACAAGCACGCGTCGTTTCTTCGTAGGACAGTCGGTAACCGTTAGAAGAGTGGGCCGCTTGCCTATCCGGCTAGGCAAACAACTGATTAGTTCATCCTGTTTGGGTAGTTCGGATGAAGGCCCGAAGCACCTCAAATCGACAGGCCCGTAGGGTGCTGGTGGCTAAGATTGTGATCTCGACTCGTGTTTCACTGCCTTTGGCTGGATTAGTCAGGTGCCTTCCGAGATGGTGAGGCCACAGCCCCAGCCAGGGAGTGTTCGTTGAGCCGATCTCGAATGCCTCCCGAGAGAGAAGTCTGCACCGCAGCCTGTCATAGTGAGCCTACAACTTGCGCTTGCATTGCTGTTTTGAGCCCCATGCCTATGTTACCATGTTAGCTGAGCTGCGAGAGTCTGTTGCGTGCAGAGCAGGCATAATTCGCTCAGCCAGTGGTGGCCTGGAGCTTAGCCGGACGATGGCCTGCGTGGGCTGTCAGTCGCGGCACTTAATTAATTAGTAATAATATTGATAATAATAACAACAAAAAAATCATCGCGTACGCCGCTGCCTTTTAGGAGTCGGACACCGACTCCGACATGCATGGCACTGAGAACTGATGGGGATACAGTGCTGCATCCTCTGTTGGCGGTCTTGAGACATTGATTCTTGTTACAAGCTCGCTGCACCATGTCTCAAGCGGTCATACGGGGGGGGGACATGCTGGAGCCGAATCTCTTGACCTTGAGGCCCGGCCTCATACCTGTGAATGTGCCAGTGGCTGAGGCTTTCCGAATTGAAATGCTCATCAAGCTTTGCGCGCGATTGCCTAGTGCATGTCAGCGTGAGGGTTGATCAGCGATTGATTGAGGTGCAGAGGTGAGGCTTCAGGGTTTTAAGGCCTCAAGAACATAGCGAAGCGACCTAGCTTGTAAGAGGAACCAGCGGCGCTCATCCTGCGCAAGAACATGCGCCGCTGGTGTGAGGTGGTGGACCGCACGGTTCCCAGCCTTAAAGCAGGAGGCAGCATCGCATGTGTAAACCTCCAACCGATGTGAACCTGTGCTCCGGGACGAGAGGCAAGATGCGCCGCCTTTTGAAGCAGCGCATTGCTCGGAGCTCAGGTGCATTCCGGGGCCACTACCTCCACAAATACCACCACCAGCACGCCACCACTCCCACGATCCTCTACCGCCACCATCAAGCACAACAAAGGGAACAGACTAGGAAAGATAGCAAGGTAGAGTTGGAAGAATACGAAGCAGTTTGAAAACAAGATGAATGTCAACTGTAGGGCCAGCAAGATAAACAAAATGATAAGAAGGAACGCTACCGCTACCGGTGCAGCAGCAAATTCAATCACCACAACCACTGCTAGCTGGGCCTTATCCTATTAGCGGCAACCACATATCCGACAACCCTACCATTACCCTACAGTGCACCCAGTCCAGTGCTTCAGGCCATGGTCCGCGCCGAATCGGTGGTTCAGGCCATTTCGCCTGGATGTGGCAACTGTTTCGGGGTCGTTCGGGGCTGCTGTAGGGTTCATACAGGCCAGTCTTTCATTACACACCGGACTTTCTTTAGGGCTTCATTCTGGGCTAGGGGCTTAGAGTAGTTCCAAGTTTAGAGTTCAGGGTTTGGGCTTAGCGCTTCGGCTGCGTAGCCTTGCAGTGTACGTTGAAGCACACTGCAGCTGCAACGAGGCGACTAGACATTAGCTAAGTTGCCTGCGTTACCTGGCAGGCTCATGTGTGCATATCTATCTGTCCGTCTAACAACCCAGCTTTATACATACATATATCTATATACAATATAAATATATAAATATATATATATATATATACATGTATGTATCTCGTGTGCTTGTTTGTTTCTGTTCATCTATTACTATGTTTAAGTGTATGGACGGGTATGTGTATATATATATATATATGTAGATATATCTGTATAGGTATACATACGTACATAATCACATAATTACGTACATACATACATACGTACATACATAACACCCACGCCTGCACCATGAAACCCCGCGAGGGTCTGAGGGTGTACAGCATATCTTACACATCTGGTTCCTTAATGGGGTTACCATATGCACAAACAGGCACACAGAGAGATCTGCGTGTGTGTGTGTGTGTGTGCACACAGACGAATGCGTGCAGCGCTGCCCACTTTCAGGAAATTGCAGGGGATTCAGAGGAACCATGTTCAGGAAAAAGTGTGGAGCGTTTCCAGAAACTGCGGGAGGTGTTTTCAGACCTAAGCGGGAATATTCGGGAACTCGAAGGGCGATTCAGGAAACATAGGCCATTTTTCAGAAAGTATAAGAAGTATATAGTTTTCAGTTATGGGCTGCGTCATACCTGGTCGAGGAGACAGATAGCTAAATGCATTTTCCGTGCCCACCAAAATGCATTTGGGCATGGTTTGCATCGTATTTCCAGGGCTGTGTCTATCTTTAGGGTATTGCTGCCATATCGTACCTTTTATAGGAGAAAGATAGCTGATTGCACTTATCGGACCTACCAAAATGAATTTGGGCATGGTTCGGGTAGCATTTCAGGTATGACCCTGTTTACTTCCTCCTCTAGGGCTGGCTGAATGCACTTATCGGGACTACCAAAATGCATTTGTGCATATTTGGGTTGTTCGTGCCCTGTGCTGGAGACACATGGCTAATTGCATTTATCGGGCCTGCCAACATGCATCTTGGTATGATTTTAAGTAGTATTGCCAGGTTTGGTTGTGTCTTATAGATATCTGCCCCTTTGCGCCTTTTCCAGAGCAACAGCAGGGTTAAGCAATGAAGCCTACACCCAGCGAAGCCTACAATATTTTGTTGCCTGATTATGAGTTCGCTGCAGATATGCATGAGTTGTTATATACGAAGCTTTGACAGTTAATCCAGGTGCCCGCGCCGGTGACGCAAGAGGAGCAGGTCCACGTTCCTGAGATCATTGCTCAGACTCGCCGCTAAACCGCATCAGGCACAGCCCAGCAACTCCTCTTTTTCTGTTTTCCTTTCGGAGCCCACCACGAAAGATGATGGCAATGGTTGTTTCCATCTGTCCTGATCCTGTAACGCTTTCCGAAAAGCGCTTCAATGCTGTCAATGCCTTGCACAACTATCGTTATTAGCACCATAGAAGCATGCTCGCCAAGGACGTTGCTTGGGCTGTGTTTTGTGCGAGCTTGCACAGTCCGTGTAGGATATCACGGGATGAGCAAAGCCCAACATACATCTCGAACCCCACACCTTAACCAGCCCTAAGCCGTGAACCTGGAGTTCTTAGGTGAGATCCACCAGCACGTCGAGCAGCAGGTGGAGGTGCCGGTACCCATGAGCCAGGACTCGGCAAGAACGGGCCCGGGTGTAGAAACTTGGTACAGGGCCTTCACCCACGGCTCTTTGGGAAAAGCTCGAAGCCTCAAAGCCGCTACTCGACTTGGGACATGATTGTGTTGGACGGCAGCTTTGATCCGAGGGTTGGCTAGCAGGGACTGTGATGCCAGGATGCCTGCTTTTTAATGGTGCATGAAATAGAAGCCTGATGCGAGCCAAGACTCAAGAACCCTAAACAAAACCCTAGACCCGCAGGAGACTGTTGTCCACGTACCGAAACTCCTTACCCAGACACGGGTGATGCGTCAGCACGTGGAGCAGGCGATGGTCCCATCGGTTGTTCTAGGCCGTTTTTCGGCTTCAGCGTTGTGGGTGTAGGGTTTAGTGTAAATCTATAGTGGTGTAGTAGAAGCAGCATAGCTCCCAAGTTGCTGCAGAGACTGCTCGCCACCATTTTCAGTTGCGCAGTACCCCAAATATCTGCTCTCACAACCCTGTATCCCCTGCACCTGAAACCCGAAAGAAGCTTAGGCTTTCAGGTTAAGGGTTTGAAGGTTTGCAGGTCCAACCAACCCATGAAGCTCAACACTTAAAGCCCTTGAAGCCCGAAGCTTGAGACCCGAACCCTTGTTAAACACCGCACGGAAGAGTGGAAGATAAGAAGAAGGGTGAACAACAACGTCAGCTTTGACCGTAAGACCAGCACGGTAAACCAAATGAGGAGTACCCTACACTACGTCCATGCCTAATAAGTCCAGTGCTTCAGGCCATGACCAGCGCCGGATCAGTCGTCAAGGCTGGTTCGCAACTCTTTCGGGGTTGCACGGACGTTTCGTAGGGTTTATGCCGGACTTTCTATGCACGGGCCTTCCTTTGCGGCTTCATGCTGGGCTACTGGTTTAGAGAAGCTCAAACTTCAGAGTTCAGGGTTTGCGCAAAAAGGGCTTCGGCTACAGGGCTAAGAGCTTTCTCGGCCGTGCAGGGTACTTTGTTGCGCATGGCGACGGTTTAGAATACGAATCCGCTCAACCGCATGCGTTCACCAGCCGACCAAAATGTGTGTCGACCGCCGGGAACATGTAACGCTCGTCCATCTGCTGCATTCATGTTCGCCTGCGACAGGCTTATCCACCAGACGGACAATAACACACACACACAGTCTTGCAGCAAGGCTGCAATCACCAAATTGGGACGCTGTAAAGTCTACTGAATGATTGCATGAAGCGCCTAAGTGCACGAGTGACTCCCCAAGTCGGGCCCCGGACACAGTTGGAGTTGAAGTAGACCTGCCATGGCGGCAGTGAGCGGATTTGTCCAAGGGACCTCGGTTTTGAGTTCTCTGGATGAGGCTTTTGATGGTGCGAGCTTCGCAGACAACCCGGGCAAGCCGGAATCAAGCCTTGCCACACATGCTTGCAATCAGAGACAATCGCACAATCATGAATACTTATAGGCCATGCAAGTGCTGATGACGTGGGCTGTTGCACTTGCGACTTATCTGGAAATTCGGTTGCAGCTGTACTGAACCATAGCAACAGTACTGGAACTGCAGCTTCGCGATGACGGTGCGTCTGGAGCCTGCAGTCGTGGCAGGAGCAGTAGTTGGTAGTTAGTAGCAGCAGTAGCTCGGATTCGTTTTTTGTAGGTAGGTAGTTAGTGATTAGGAGTTAGTAGCCACGAGTTAGCAGTCAGTAGTAGCTAGCAGCCCTACACACCAAACTCAAACCTTTGCCAGAAGCGCTGAGGCCTTGAAATCCTGAACCCCCAATACCCTCGACTCGACATTAACCCAAGATGCTGAGCCCCTACTGCGCTTCTTGAGCCTGGCAATTGCAGGGCCCGGTCCTTGCGAGCCCGAAGTACTTCGGTCCGTCTGCAGGATGGCAGCCGCGTTTAGGGTCCGAGGCGTCTAGAGGCATCTATGTATGAAAAAAGGGATAAGCATAGTACTTGTGATCATTGTTGCTTTCTCTTCTGTTTACGAGTCTGATGACGATTGAGGTTGTGATTGGTTTTTGCCACTGAGCCCAAGAATGTCGTTCTTCTGATCCAGCAGGAATCCCATGACAGTCCTTGCGACTGTTCATGATTTATTCAAGCCTCTTAATTCCAACGGCATTGTAATTGTGTGCTCGCTCTCGCGGTGACAGTTCCGTTACTTGGCAACTGCTGCTGTTGTTTTCTTGTTGTTTGCTGACACTGTCGTTTGCCGTTGCCCGTTGTTATGTTTGAGATTGAGTCTCAGGATGCCACGATGTCAGTGCGAGGGTTTTTTGAGAGTAGCCCTACTTTGGCTATCCTACGTTCGACTTATTCGGCTTGTGGCTCGACCAGTTCGAACGCGCGGGGGTTCCAGCCAGAGTTTCTGCTGCAGGGTTTAGTTCCCTGTGAAGTCGTAGATGCACTGGAAGTGTATGTCGAAGTTCCACAGTGCAAGCATCTGTACATTTGCAGTTTCGTGGATGCTACAGAAGCTCACAGTAGTAGCAACGACAACACACAAATGGATTTCGCTGAATCTTGGGAGTGCCATCCTGCGCTTCGCGTGCCTGCTAACGGGAGCATAAGTCTGAAGTCAGGACAAGCCCACGACGTTTCGAATCCGAAGGTGGTTCTGGCCTTAAATACATTACGGGCATGCGGTGCCATGCATCCGGCGTCCTCTCCCTGTCTCAGGTGCCAGGCCTGGTCATGACAAGGTCCGATGCACGTGCAAAAACCTTCAGTAGCACTCGGGCTGCTGGCTTTTTTCTCTCGCAGGTCTGCTCACATCTCCAACCTGCCCCACCATCCCTACATGCCGGGCCAGGGCTTCGTGCGCTTCCCGGTCTAGAGCCTAGTGCCTGTTGTTGGCTGTGTTGTCAGAGGTTGCCACGCCCTGCACCGTCCCAACACGACTGTGCAGTCTTAATTGGAATATTGCAATGCACGGGCGGCCATCGAATATACAAAACATGCAGTATTGCTGAAGGCTACAGCTAACAGCTCCCAATGTTCAGCACGCCCTTGCCTCAGCATGTGTGCCAGTGACTGAATCTCCGAGTTCCTTCACCAGTTCACAGCAGCAGTCCAGGACCTGGGCCAAGAGGAAACACAATTGGTGACTGGGGAGTAGATCGAAGACTTCTCAAAGGTCCGATGTACATCGCGCGGCCGATGACCACCGTGCAGATGCCTCTGCAGGCAGGGGGAAATGAAGGAGAGACTTGTTCATCGCTTCACACAGGCAGCCTGGGTTTCTGTTGATTCTTACATGACAGATGATGGGTGCGACCTCGTTAAAAAAAAAGGAGGTCGCGCTGGAAGCCCAGACCCCTGAACCCCATACGACCCAACTTCTCCGCAGGCACGAGCACGAGCGGTCCCGCCAGTCGTGTCCGGAGCCTCAGAGCAGAAATGAGTTCGGAGGGGGGAAGTGGAGACTTTTTCCCTTCTTTACGATTTGGGGTCAAGGCAGGGCTCAGGGTTCTGTTCAGTCTGGTTAGGGCTTATGGGGTTTAGGTTTTTGCCGAATGGTGTGGGTGATGTTGCAGCTGTCTTGCATAGATATTGCCTTCCATAGAAAATGATCCATTGATGTCTCGGGTTGCGGGGCTTTCGGTTCAGAGTCTTGGTTCGGCAGGGTTTCTTGGTTCTGCATACTGAGGCGAACAACCGCACCCTGACACCTCGTGTGATCGTTCGTGCCTAGGCTGAGGCACTGCCTCCTGAGGACTCCGACAGCGTATGGTTAAGCCAGAAAGTAGCCGCGATCTTACTTTGCAGGTTGTAGTTTGGCAAGGACAGGCCTGACTCCTACCTTACAAGCCCAAATACGATTCCCTAGGCTTCTTTAGTTAATCTTCTCAATAACAGAAGCCTACAAGTAACTTTATAGCACCCCTCAGAGGAACCTTTCAATCAACCCTGTTCTGACTGTTCAGGCCGCTTCTGAACTCCTACCCCAAAGCCGAATACTGATGCGCTTGTATCCTAATACCCTAGACCCTAAACCCTACTACCTGCCCTAATGCCCTAAACCCCAAACCACTAAATCCCCAAAACCTACCAACCCTACTCCCTATCATCTGCCATCCTTCACAGGAGCCTTGAATCCTTGTTCACTTCTACCCTCAATCCTAGACCCCTAAACCCCTACACCCCAACATCTGCCATGCTGAAGGCTTGTCCGGACCATCCCATCATCCTTCTCACTGAAGCCGTCGACTTTGATGTGAGGGGAGGCCGGGGTGGCCGGAAGCTCAAGCTTTAAGGTTTAGGGTCTAGGGATTAGAGTTCGCGGGCAGACTTCGTCCGGCCGTCTTTGGGACCAAGACAAGACACCACAGCTATTCACTATGGCGAGTAAAGTTTTGCAATCTGACATGTGCCGTATATTTGTGCAACGACGACGACTACTACTACGACGACTCCACCACCATCACCATGGCAGGATATGGTCCAAACACCGGTCAGACCCTAATTCACGAGAGTCTAGGGTTTGGGGTTTAGGGGAGTAAGCCAGAGAATAAGCAAGACGCGCAACACTGATTTCAGGACGCCTCTTTGTTCCCGGGTTTCCAGTCTTGAAGTGTAGCCGCAACTATGAAGCCCCTGAGCATGAATCCCAACACATCCTAACCTCTAAGCACCTAAACCCTTAACCCCTAAACGCCGAAACCCTTGGCTTGAAGAGCCCTAAACCCCTATAAAGCCCCTGAAATTCCTGAGCCCTAAGCTTTCGAAGAGCCCTAAACACCCGGTGCCCACCTTTGCATCACTGCCTGACAGACATCGACCAGTGCAGCTCCAATGGGGTGCTCCCGCACGCAATAGGGGAGTTTCCCTTGAGGCTTCCTTTAATGACGGTGCCGTACTATCTTACCCCCAATATTGACACGACTTCAGGGAGCTTCCCGATTGCTGTTCGAGCGCCTTCACCAGGCTTCGATAGTCATCAAGTCCATCAAAGGGTGTAGGTTTAGGCGTTTGGTGGTTTAGGGTTTAGGGTTTTCGTTTAGGGATCCATCCGCCCAAGCTTCTGCAAAGCGACTTCGGACGCCTGCTGGATCAAATCCACCGATCGTGCAGCCCCTGGAATTCGTGTTTGTTTTCGCCAAGCCTCCGACTCCTCTGCTGGGCTGACGGTAGCATAATGGTCCGCATAAGCAGCAATGGTACACCCCGGCAAGGTAGCCCTGGTAGTCTTTGGGTACGTACACCAAGATCTCAAGTAGAGCCCTGTTCAAATTATCAAGACCCCTGTGGCATTAGAATCGACCTCCTTTGCCTCTAGGGGGCTAGCTTGTAGGTGTATACTTCACACCCAAACAAGACTGCTGCAAGTATTTTAACCGCATCGCCTCGACCTAAGGGCTTTCGGGAAGTCAACAAGCCGCCGGCCATGACAAACATCGACTCCTAAACTTACGCGATTCAACCCCTGTAAGCCCTCAACCCAGAGAAAGCCGGAAAAGTGAAAGGCTTCCATGGCCGAAAAGGCCATTGCTTTCCTGTGCACACTCGTGCTTCAAAGCTATGAGCCCTATCAGGTTTTGGGTGTTACGGTTTCAGGTGTAAGTTGGCCTGTCCCGTGCCCGGTGGGCCTCCAGGGAGCCAAAGAGCCCCTCATGCAATGATTCCATGGATGCCCAGAACAACAGTGAATGACAGGAGCAACCTGCTCAAGGTCAAGCCCATTCGGATCATAATCGTCACGGTCATCATGGAAACAACAGAAGGGCAGAGCTCAGTAAGGCGCGATGCAGCACGATGATGACTTGTACTACATCCTCCCATTTGCTTTCGCCGGCAAACCCCCCGCTCTCTAACCTCAGAAAATACTGTTTTCGTGTCCCCCGTGCAGGTCTTGTCGTCCTGGCAGCCGACTGCCCTGGCTCACCTGAGCCGACAGCTCAGAGGAGTCTTGTGTTGGCGATTTCTTTCGGTCGGGAGGTCGGGGATCTGAACAGCTGAGTGGGTCTTTGGGACTCCGAGCTTGATGCGATCTTTGCCAGTTGTCGTCGGCGACGCCGAGTTCGAGATGCAAGCCGCGGGAGCCTTGGGCATCGTCTGCGCGTCGGGCAGAGTAGAAGGTCTTCATCAATTTGGCATGCCTTGCCAGTTTCGTCTGTGGGTGAATTCACCAACAAGATAAAATTCTACACTTAAGAAATACGCAGTGCCCTAGTTCTTTCATGAAGTCCTTTCTGCGAGGCATACACCTCTTCGGCGGGCCTGGGCTCGCCGACGGCGGTGAAGACGGTGGCCCCCTGAGAATGTGTGGCCGTGTGTATGTATGCATATGTATGCCTGTATGCATATGCATGCGTACGTGTATATGTGTGTATATGTATGTGTGGATGATATATGCATACACCTACGCATGTTTGTCATATATGTATGTATACATATATATATATATATATATATGTGTATGTATGTGTATATATATATATACAGTTGTACATGTATACGTGTATTTATGTATGTATGCATATATGGTATATATGTATACATGTATACATGCGTGTATGTCTATAACCGCTCAGTGGCATTGTTTATGTATATATGTATACCTGTATGCTGTGACAATATCCGTATGTCTGTATAAATGTACATGTGTACACATGTACATATGTATACGTTTATGTACATGTACATATGTATATGTCGATGTATATGTCTGTGAACATGAATATGTATAAGTATCTGTATATATATATACACATATATATTGGGCTGCGCAGTCTCCCCCTTATTTTTTGCTCAAACCATGAGCTTCGGCAAGTTTGTGATCTTCGACCAAACTTAGAAACCCACCGAAAGTTTATTAACCCAAAATTTGTAAACCCTTGGCATCTTGAATCTGGACCAAAGCATATAAACAACCGTGAATCAACATGACTTCGTGTCCAAGTCGAAGCCAACAGAAAATACGCAGTATTTAAACCTTTATGGATGATTGTGGGATGTTTCTTACACTGCTCGTTCCAATACGTATCTTCCCCGTACAGATGCCATGATTCCGTTGTGTTCCTCACCGTTTCTGCAGACCTACTTGGGAGATTACCGCAGCAAGTCGCAAATCCTAAGTACTTGCACCTATCATTCTAGCCATCCATGCGTTCACAATGCTGGCTAGCTGAAGCTCGTAAAACACCATGAATTCTACAGCAACCTCGTCGAGACCCTGTTGCAACGTGCTAAAACTCTTGCCTTGCAGGCGTCGATACGTTTTCGTGTGTCGTGCCTTTGCGACTGTTCTCTAAACCCGTGTAGATCCAAACTCCTAGCAAAAGCGCGTTTAGCTATTAATCTGGTTACAGTAAGTCTTGCTTTACAGTGAACTAAGTTGTAGAACAAAGAGTTTAGAATGTTTGTATTGCAATGCTGCAATCCCGCTAAAGTGTCTGTGTTTCTATGCATTGCTTTGGAACTTGGCTACATACAGCTCGGAGTAGCATATCCCTCTGCCCGTATGTGATTGCTTTTGAATGCTGGTATACCCGGTTTATGCGGGCATTTGGGTGCTGCATTCCTCAACTCTGTAGAATGACACCCCCCCAAAATGAATGCAAAAACTTGCATGCTATGCACGCTTAGCAAACGTTGTATGGAGTGCTTCTCCTGTGGGGCAGTATACATCGAGTGTCGCTTCTTAGACTTGGCTGTATATCTACATACCGAGTGATGAAACGTTTGCTTCTTGTAACATATCGGAACCATCTCGTAGAGCCCACTGCGAACCATATAGCCTCATGTAGCTTGTCCGCATTGTGAGATCATAAGCAGTAAGGAAGATGCAAAATACTGCTTGCCTTTACAATGAGTTCGTATCAGCCTTATCGCGTGCATGTTCTGTTGACTTTGCTAGCCCCGCGCCCTGCCACACGTGTTTGTTCTTGTGAGCATGACCGGAGCCCTAATAGAAGCCGTTGTCCCAATCCAGAACGTCATTCCCCGCATAAGGGATAAAAGCTTAAGCACACCGCGTCGCTCTTTTCCAAACGAGGGCTCATCCCCATGTGTTGGAAGCAGCGTTGCTAGTAGTGTTCTACGTACCAAGCCAAAAAGCCTCACAGTTTGTAAGCTGCAAGTTTTGTGGCGAGTCAGTCTTGTCTCATCGAAATCCTGCTCCCTTGGAATGACATTTGGACATAACGTTGCAACCAATTCGTCCATGTACCAAGTGGTGAAACCCTACCACGTTGTACACGAAAATACTACTCCTACTTCAAATGAGGTCTTGTCAGTCTTATCTCAAGTTTCTGGGTGGCTTGATATTTTAGTGTTGGCAACACGTACTAAGCTATTTTAACCCCGATAGAAGCCACGTCGTGTTCCACACAATGATTCCTGGATGAGTGGCATATAAGTGCCTATTTAGTGTGTACATAGATTGCCTTCTCACTTGTAAACTCCATGTACTGGAACTGTTAGATCATGAGAACGATGCTGCAGCATGGCCTGTCCATCTCGAGAGAAATTGCATATGGTCCCGAAAATATGCGAATTCTGACAAAAACACTGCATCATTGCTCAAAAAACGAATACATGCTGGATACCTAGGACCATTCTCCTAGCTTCTTGAACTGTTTCATTGCAGTTTCAGTCTTCCTGAATTACTTAAACAATTGAGATTTTTGGTTTAGGTGTTCGTGAAGTACTGATGAGAGACTTTCGTATGTTTTATTGAGCAATGGGACCCTCCCAAAGTTTACAAACCACAACATTGGTTTATAAACCCAGGTTTTCCGAACCTTCAAACATTCAGTTTACCTATATGACGGGCAGTGTCCGAAACCATTAAACCAACAGACCATTTTCACCATTTCACCAGTCGGTTTGAAGTGAGGAGGACTAACCATACGGGGTGATTGCGCACCCGAATCCGTTTCACCAGTTCAAAAGCTCATCATTTTACCAATTAGTTTGGTCCTATGTCCAACCCATAAACCGTTTCACCAATTCACCAATTAATTAAATTGGCCCTATGTTTGAACCCATAAACCCTTTGCACCATTTCACCATTTAGTTTGTCCCTATGTAAACGCTCATGAACAATTTCACCAGTTGGAAAGTTTTGCCTAAGCCGTAAACCATGTCAGTCACCATGTCACCAATGAGTTTGGCCCTAACCCATAAAACATTTCACCAATGAGTTTGGCCCGAAACCCTAAACACCAATTAAACCCATAATCTGTTTCATTCTTTCACCAATCAGTCTAGCCCTTCCTCCTAAACCATTTCACCATTTGGTTTGGCCTTAATTCATAATCCGCTTCACCACTTCACCATTTCTCCAATCAGTTTGGTCCTGACCATTTCACCATTTCACCAATTGATTTGGCCTTAGCCCATAAGCCACTTCACCATTTCACCAATTAGTTTGGCCCTAGCCCCTAAACCATTCCACCGCTTCACCAATTAGGCCTTACCATATGGATGGTGAAATGGTGAACTGGCTTGACCCTATAGGGGAAATGAATGGTGAAATGGTGAACCGGCCTGACCCTATGGAGGAAATGAAAGGTGAATTGGTGAACCGGCCTGACCCTATGGGGGAAATGACTGGTGAAATGGTGAAGGATTTTTTCGGTGCAAGATCACGACATGCAGGGGGGATGTAACATTACCCTCATATATATATATATGTATAAATATGTATACACATATGTATAGTACACATACAGATACTTACATACACACACATAGTTACGTAGGCAAACACACACACTCACGCATGCGCAACTCTTTCCTCATACAGACATGTTGGCTCAATATAAATAAGTAAACGGAGAGAGATCTATATATATATATATACACATACATACACACACAGAGATGCATAGCCGCACACACACACACACACACTCCCACACACTCACTCACTCACTCAGTCTCAGTCTCAGTCTCTCATACTCTCTCTCTCTCTCACACTGCCTCTCTGTCTCTCTCTTTCTTCTCGCTCTCTCTCTCTCTCTCTCTCTCTCTCTCTCTCGCCGGCTCTCCTTCGCGTTGCTCTTTTCCCTATGTGCATGCATGCATTCATGCCTGCGCGCGTGTCCAGATCGATGGATGCGTGCGTGCATAAAATACATACATACGTACATACCTGGAAACATCCTGCACATAAATGCATGCATCGATACATGCATGCATGCTTGCATGCTTGCATGCACGCGAATGCATAATTGCATTTCAGTTTATACATACAGATTCCCACATGTATGCTCGAATGCATAGTATGCATGTACCGATTCCCACACGTATGCTCGAATGCATGCATACGCGCATACAGGCATCTCATGCGAAGGAGCTGTTGTTGATCGTGTGATGTAGACACATACACACACACACACACACACCCAGACAGACATATATGCAGATGAACATGTATAAAGTACGTGCTGATACTACCATCCCTCTTTTTCTGGCCATGCTTGGACGATGGGCTCACAGCTTTCGGCTTTTGTGCTTAAGATGTCAGAGCTGTCTGAATCCCAACATCGGAGGTGAAATTCAAGGAGGATCCCGACTCCAGATGTTTCGGATCTGGTGACGGGTCGTTTTCACTTTCGGTTTCAGATTCTTGGGGTTTGGGTTTTGGGCTTTCCGGGGTGGTTCAGAAATTTGGGGTCTGATATGTGTGAGGGTCGAACATTGGATGTCCAGGGCTTGAGGATATGATTATGATTATGCATCGTAAAGTACAGGATGCCACACTTTCGTTTTTTGGTTTGAGACGAAAAACAGTATCAGCATCACCACCGGAAGCCCTGTACGGTAGTCTGGCGGTCAAATATGTGAATCATCTGCACACTGCGCGAATATTAGCACACGGCTTGGCAGCAATGTGCCAACTGCCGTTATACTTTAGCACAAGGAGATGTTTTCACAACGGTCAAACCATGAGAAAGCATCTAGATTCGGCGGGTGTTGAGGAATAATGCCTTTCGCGAACATCCGAACAGCCGTCACCATATCAACATTCACAGCCAGGCAATGTTAACCTGCTTGCATGGTTTGAGCCATGACATGATACCTTAATTCCATTGCGCTCGCGAAGTCGGTTTTGTAACTGCGCATCAGCCGATCAGCCGATACGCCGATAAGCCGAGCAGCCGAGCAGCCAGTCTTGACCTGGAGTGCAAGCCGTCCAGGTGATCAGCCGATCGGCTTGTCGGCTGATCGGCTTGTCGGCTTATCGGCTTATCGGTTGATCGTGGTGACATCCATGGTCTATTGGGAAAATAGCTCCCATGTCCAACGTCTGATGACGTCCATGGTCTACGGCGATTCAGGAACCATCCATGCCCAAAACCTAAGGACGTCCATGCTCTACTGCGATTCGGGAACAGAGCATCCATGCCCAAAACCTAAGGACGTCCATGCTCTACTGCGATTCGGGAACAGAGCATCCATGCCCAAAACCTAATGACGTCCGTGGTCTACTGCGATGTGGGAAAAGAGCTCTCTTGTTCAAAGCCTCATAACATCCATGGTCTAGTGCGATTCGGGAACAGATCACACCATGCACAAAACCTAATGACGTCCGTGGTCTACTGCGATGTGGGAAAAGAGCTCCCATGACGTCCCTGGTTTACTGCGAGCTCCCATGTCCAACGCCTGATGACATCCATGGTCTACTGGGAAGAGAGCTCCCATGTTCAAAGCCTAATGACGTACATGCTCTAGTGCGATTTGGGAACACAGCACACCATGCCCAAAACCTAATGACGTCCGTGGTCTACTGCGATGTGGGAAAAGAGCTCCCATGTTCAAAACCTAATGACGTCCATGGTCTACTGCTCTTTGGAAAAAGAGCTCCCATGTCCAACGCCTGGTGACGTCCATGGTCTACTGCGCTTTGGGAACGGAGCATCCATACCCAAAACCTAATGACGTCCGTGATCTACCGCGATTTGGGAACAGAGCTTCTATGTCCAATCGGCTGATCGGCGTAGCACGGTTTGGCGCCCAGATCCCACGCACACTGCTTAATTCGGCTTCCTTGCAAAAGCTCGCATAGATCAAGACCAGCCGTTCGAAGGTCCACGTGAGAGATGCAACAGAATGTGGTATATCATGCAGGCTTAATCGCAGTGTGCGTACGCTTTGTGAAAAGCATAGGCATCCCAGCATTTCTGAACCTCAGACACCACCCCCTAAACCCTAAAAACCCTGCTAAATCACAAAACCTGAAAACACTCGAGACTTCCACACAAAGCCACAAACACCAATCCTTGGAGCCCCAGCTGAACGTAGGTCGAACAGTACTTTAGTCCTATAAGCTACATTAAGACCAAGTGCACTCAGACCAGTGAATCAGCGTCCGTGCCAGGTTGTGCCTTCTGCAGCAACGTGGCACTGGACACACGAGCGCCATATTCGTTGGGAAAAAAGTGGTGTCAATGACTGGGGTTACGGTTTGGAAAGGAATGGTGTCAGACGGCAGACGGTGTGGCTTGCAACTCACAGGAACTGCGGAAGCCAGCAAATTCAGTTGGATCATTTATCCCCGGTCAAACAGTGTCGCAAGGTAATCGGTCAACGTTTCAGCTTCAGGGGTCATCATGCACTTTGTCGAGTCCACGGCGCTTGATGTGGTTAGATCCGTTATGGTATTTTGGCCGAAAGGCTGGGCGTGTGAGACGTCCTCCATGTCGAAGAAAGCGTTCAGTTCGTCGTGGCGATGGTTATGAAGTGATGACGATTGAAGCTGTCATGACCATGAACGTATGATGGCTCCGACTGCCAGGGCTCGAACGATGACATGATGATGACCACTGCGACAGTGATTGCGATCATGCTGGTGTTGATGATGGAGATGGTGATGGCATCCAAGCCAAGCCTTTCAACGAATGCCTTTCTTGCAAAGTGTTCTTTCGTTTGGCTGCGTGTCGCAATGTGTTCGCAGATTCTCTGATGTCGGTGTTGCCATGCGCTGCTTAGTTTCAGTCAAACCCGGTCTTGAGAGCTTCCAGTGCAAACAACCGAAAAACAGCAGCAACTACAGAGTGGATTGCCTTCTGCGAGCGTTCCGGCTCAGTGGGCGAGAAACAGGTGTAGGTTTATGACCGGTATAGCTTTTCACCGCTAATTGAGCCGCAGGTGTATGTGTTGCTACGAAGAAGGCGGTGCAGCCGACATTGATGCGGGCACTTCACACCAAATCGTCTGATGGAGCCTTCGCTGTCTTACACCCCAGACACTGACTTGCGAGGCCGGCACAATCCCAACTTCTCAAGACGACAGCGTTGGAGCTAAGTAGCAGTTTGCAGTTTCAGGTAAAAGTCGGGGTGGTTTCGGATGCACCAGGGTTGCCGGGGCAGGCTCAATCAAGAATCACACGTTTAAGGCGGCGACACCATCAGGTGTATGTGGAGGCTGTCCGATCGAGTAATTCTTCACCCGGAAGTTTTCCGCTTGCTGACACACGACTCCAACTAGGGGTTTCCACACTGAATCGCTCGCAGGTGCCATGTCACGGCCATGGTGGAGGCTCGCCACTCATTACCGGTTGCCTGGACGGATCTAGTCGGTCCCAATTTATGAGTTTGATTGCTGTCGCGACTGTCGCATGTTCCGCCGGGTGTGCAGCCATAGCTTGATAAGACAAGACCCCTGTCTATGCCTATTCTCATCCATGGACCAGCCACCTCTCCAGGATGTTGCCATAGAGCTATCGCTATCCCAACTCAAACTCACATGGTCCATGGCCCTCGCGCAACCCCACACTTCGCCCAAGTGCTTCAAGCCCCCTGCCCGAACAAGCTTTCCGTACACATGTACGTAGACCTGTGCTGCATGCCGTATCTTTCCGCATTGGTGCATGTTGTGCCTACAAACCTACGTCTCCTATGATTGCCAGGACGTCTGCCAAGCCGGAGGTTTTGCTCGGACAGCTTGCCGTGTTTGGACCCCCAGCATTAACACCGTGCATGCAGGGTTGACAGGGTGTTGAAGACTTAAGGTTGAGAGCTTTGGGCTGTATGTTTTGGGGGGTTGAGAGACTACGGTTCGCGTGCTGGTGCTGGGGATTGCCGTTCCAGCTGATGGGGCGTCGCGTTTAGTACGAAGTTCGGGATGTGGACTCTGGCCCTCGAGTCTTGCAGCATTCGCCATTTGGGAGGCCTGTGTGAAAATATTTTTTTCGTCACGTGCATCGCTGGCATCCAAGCTTAAGCCACCGACCCCAAAATCCCAAAATCCTGTCTGTTGCAAACACAGGTTAGATTTCGCCAGCGAGTTGCATGTTGCATTGGCCTTGCAAAGACCAATAATTCTGTCCTGGACATGGAACTGCCCCGGGTCTCGCCACGGCACACCTGAAGCTCTGCAGCTCAAGCTGCAGCTCAGCCACACTCCTGTAGCTCGAACGTTGGCTAGAGCAGTCCAAGCCCTCAGTTTTGCTTCGACCCTGTCCCCAGCAAAGTGCACGATGAGTGGGTCATGCAGAGATCTCGCGTGGCTTGGCCCGTGTGGACTACAGGGAGGGTTCGGTGGGGGTGAGCGCATGTGTGCTGGCGTTCCTCACCGCTTGCTCCCGAAAAGAGGCTCCTGCAGCATTCTTCTGAGTGTCCGGTTGGCCACTGCTACCTTCCTTTGCCTTTTAGATAAACCCTAAGGAACAGCAGAACCAATGATTCAGGATCGAAAAGCCACACGATAACACAAGCATTCGGCTTTAACCCTTTGCGACTGACTGTGATTTCGAAACCTCGCATGCTTGCCATTCGGCAAGGATGCATTGAGAGACAGGTTGCTGTGCAAGACAATATAGGGGTCTTCAGACTTCGAACCGGTCTGCTTTGGGGTGCGTCGCATGAAGTCCAGTGTCCAGGCTTTCCTAAACCCTAGCCTTCATCACGAGGTTACGAGGTTCCTACTATTACGGAATTATAGGGCCTAAAAAGCATGACACAGATGGTCTTTTGTGACGTCATCCCATAAAGACAGTATCTATGAACCCTCTCGGTCATCCATGATCCCTGCCCTGGAGGTTCCTGAGTTTGGTATGGAGATACCTAGGACTAGGACCCTAAACCCCAACTCCCCCAAGAATCTCTGAAGTTTGCACCAGGCACTCCGCTTCCCAGGTTCATCGCAGCAGCAACCTAAGACATCTGGGACTCTGTGTTTGGGACTGAGGGTTCAGGGGTTTCAAAAAATGTTCTCATATCCTCTATATGCCTCAGACAACGTCTCGAAATCCTGAACCCCTCAACCCTTTGCCCTAATGCCCTATTGGCGACACTGAAAGCCGACGGTCTGGTGGTAGAACGCCCTTTTTTTGCCTCTGCTACCGTTTCGGGTTTGGAAGCGGTTAGGGATTTAGGATTCTGGGTTTTAGGGCTGAGGGTTAGTTGACCGCGAGGAGATTTCAAGAGGTCGGCTCTTCTTCGTTCGGGGGCTTGTTTTGGAGACATGGTGTTCAGCGGTTCGGCTGTTGACATCGCACATGCTACTGTATCGCATTCGGTTTGTACATGTGCACGGTATTTTTCGCTAGGTTGTAGGATGCTGAGTGTTCTGCTTCAGCGCCGAGGCGTTGTGAACATGAACAATCTTGCTAAGCCGTATAATACCTTTGATTGGAATTTGTTTTCGTAGTTGTGAGTGTTTTTGTGAAGTTGAGTTTGGTTTGCGTGTTAAGGCCATCGCTCACACAGCGTATGGCCATGCAAACCTTAGGGAAGTGTCGACCCGCTGCCTGGCTGTAGAAAGTTGTGTCGAAAATGGCCGACCTAAACTCCAAGCCCCGAAGCCACAATCCCTAAACTCTAAACCGTTCTCGCCTGAAGGTATGCTTCCATGCAGCAGAACTTCCTACACAATCTGCCGGAGAAGGAAGTCTTCAGCCTCTTCAGCAGCAAGGAGATGGGTCAAAATCGGATTCCTGAAAGAGCTCTCTAGGTGACTGTTGTAGAGCGTAGGGGTCAGGCTTGGGATTAGGGCCAGCATACATCTTGATATCTTCTGGACAGTAATTGTAGGTTCAGGATAGGTTTAAACACGGTTCTCATGCGTGATATTGGTAAAAGTGAGGCCAGATGGCACCACTTCAAACCCTAGTACACCCTAAGCCTCGTTAGTGGCCCTACCAGAGGGAGCCCGGAAGGCCTATTTCCAATCACGGAGGATTTTATATTAGGGTCCGAGAAAACGGAACTCCCAATCTTTGGTCTCGCTTCCATGCCCATCAGCTTCAATATCCCTCAACGAAGGTATTCCCCAAACTAAGCCCGGAGCCCTAGCCCTACACCACATTCATGACGTAATGTATGGGAACTTCCGGTGCTCCAGGCAGCCCCCACCCCTAAGTCTGTAACTTTAACCCTTTAGCACTATACCGTACACCATGCACCATTGATTAATTCCAACACGGACCTAACTCGCCCTATTCCGACGTACTCGACACTACCCCATCTTGTTAACGCTACTGCAATCCTAAATCCTAAACCCTGAGCCCCGAACCTAAAAACCCTAAACCCTACATCCTAGACCCTAATCCTAACCCCACCCCAGCTTGATTGCTCAAGTTGCTTCTTCCTGTGACCAGAGCCCCGTGAGATGTCGGGGGTGCGATCTTGGAAGCGGGAAGCTCCACGGTAACCAAGACTTTTGGGTTCAGGGTCTAGGGACGGTTTCGGGTTTAAAAGGTTCTAAGACGGTTTTAGGGTTTAGGTTATAGAATACTCGTTCAGGGTTGGTGTTTTAGGCTCTGGCTTCAAATAAGCGGGTGCCCGTAGTTTCCGGAATAGGGCCATTATAGGCCTTACAGGGTCTGTAGAATTTGTTGTTTAAACTGTTCTTCGATGCATTTGTAGTACACCGGCCTTATCTACATAGGGTTTCGGAATGTCTTGTAGTACAACGAGGCGCAGCGCTTTCAAGCCGGGATTGAGGAGTTCAAGAACCTGTTTGCAGGAGCTCGTTGCTCGTTTTGCCTTTGTCGTGAAGTTTCAGGTATAGGTCAACCCATCATGCCAACTTTCAAGATTTTCGGTGTGTTCTGGAGCTACGGTTTATGGACTTCAGAATCCCAGTCCATGCAGCCCAGGCTTGCCTGCGGCTTATGATGGCAGGCCTATCCAGCATCTACCTGGGCTTGCATGTGCTCCGGCGGCGGACTTTGGAAAGCAATTTGCAGCCTGCAGTTTGGACCATGTTGATGGTGATGCTCTTATGGTGTATGGTGCAGACGGTGGGAACCCATCCTGGTGCAGTACCGGCAAGCCTGAAACTTGATGAGGATGGGACGATTCCCTTTTATGAATGGCTGACATGCCCTGTGAGGGTGTGCAAACATTGCAAAGCGGTAATGCCAGACAGGTGCCATCATTGCAAGAAGTGCCAATCATGCATTCTCAAGATGGACCACCACTGCCCTTGGCTCAACTGCTGCATCGGGTTCAACAACTACAAGTTATTCCTCCTTCTCAGCATCTATGCAGACATTCTGTGCCAATACATGTTCTGGTCAATGGCCACAAAAACGCTTGGCTGCATGGGAAGCTGCGAGCCTCTGTGGCGCAAAGTCATTATCTTCGTCTGGCAGGTTCTCCTAATGCTTCTGAGCATCAGGCTTTCACTTGATGTTGGTGAAACATGGCATGACGACAATCGAATTCCGCGCAAACAAGCACCACAGATCCGAATAATTACTGCTGCGAAATTGTGCCGAATTCCAAGATCGTAGATGTCGGTATTGAAGTGCTGTCTGCTCGAGGCGCGGCTTCCAGCAGACAGCCCTTCAATACCGACATCTACGATCTTGGGATTCGGCACAATTTCGCAGCAGTATTCGGATCTAACGCATGGTTGTGGTGCTTGCCCGTTGGACGCCCGAAGGGCAGTGGGCTCGAGTTCCCGGGCCCTCAGCGCATCGGCGCGAATTCCTTGGCTGTCGGATTGTTGTTGGACCCAGAGAGGCGCCAAGCACCTGTGTTCGAGAAAGCCCGCGACTAGATCATAAGGTGTGCCGGTACTCTGGCGGCACGGTGGCTCAATGGCCACGTTGGCAGGAGTGTGTGTTTGTGCGAGAAAGCCCTGTGCCAGGTTGTGCCTTCTGCAGCAACGTGGCACTGGACGCACGAGCGCCATATTCGTTGGGAAAAGAGTGGTGTCAATGACTGGGGTTTTGGGGCGCAAGACTAGGCACCACGAGAAAGTGCTAACTTTCGAGCGTAACAGCGGTTTGGCAAAGAATGGTGTCAGACGGCAGACGGTGTGGCTTGCAGCTCACACGAACTGCGGAAGCCAGCAAATTCAGTTGGATCATTTATCCCCGGTCAAACAGTGTCGCAAGGTAATCGGTCAACGTTTCAGCTTCAGGGGTCATCATGCACTTTGTCGAGTCCACGGCGCTTGATGTGTTTAGATCCGGTTTGGTATTTTGGCCGAAAGGCTGGGCGTGTGAGACTTCCTCCATGTCGGAGAAAGCATTCAGTTCGTCGTGGCGATGGTTATGAAGTGATGACGATTGAAGCTGTCATGACCATGAACGCATGATGGCTCCGACTGCCAGGGCTCGAACGATGACATGATGATGACCACTGCGACAGTGATTGCGATCACGCTGGTGTTGATGATGGAGATGGTGATGGCATCCAAGCCAAGCCAATCAACGAATGCCTTTCTTGCAAAGTGTTCTTTCGTTTGGCTGCGTGTCGCAATGTGTTCGCAGAGTCTTTGATGTCGGTGTTGCCATGCGCTGCTTAGTTTCAGTCAAACCAGGTCTTGAGAGCTTCCAGTGCAAACAACCGAAAAACAGCAGCAACTACAGAGTGGACTGCCTTCTGCGAGCGTTCCGGCTCAGTGGGCGAGAAACAGGTGTAGGTTTATGGCCGGTATAGCTTTTCACCGCTAATTGAACCACAGGTGTACGTGTTACTACGAAGAGGCGGTGCAGCCGACATTGATGCGGGCACTTCACACCAAATCCTCAGATGGAGCCTTCGCTGTCTTACACCCCAGACACTGACTTGCGAGGCCGGCACAATCCCAACTTCTCAAGACGACAGTGTTGGAGCTAAGTAGTAGTTTGCAGTTTCAGGGCCTTGAGTCTAAAAGTCGGGGTGGTTTCGGATGCACCAGGGTTGCCGGGGCAGGCTCAATCAAGAATCACACGTTTAAGGCGGCGACACCATCAGGTGTATGTGGAGGCTGTCCGATCGAGTAATTCTTCACCCGGAAGTTTTCCGCTTGCTGACACACGACTCTAACTAGGGGTTTCCACACTGAATCGCTCGCAGGTGCCATGTCACGGCCATGGTGGAGGCTCGCCACTCATTATCGGTTGTCTGGACGGATCTAGTCGGTCCCAGTTTATGAGTCTGATTGCTGTCGCGACTGTCGCATGTCTAGGCCACGTGGTTGGCTTTGGGGTGAAGATTCGGAGCATGCACGCGATTTGTTGCACGACATTGTGCAGCGTCTTGTTCACCTCGCTCAAAAGCTGCTCACATCTGTGGCAAAACGACAGGGCCGCAAGACTGAGTAAGCACTTGGCGGTACAGTGCGGAGGCTTGCACCAATCCAAGTGCGGGGTTGTTGTTCCCGCCAACTCGGTGATGGGTGCAGCCGTAGCTTGATAAGACACGACCCCTGTCTATGCCTATTCTCATCCATGGACCAGCCCCCTCTCCAGGATGTTGCCATACACCTATCGCTATCCCAAACCAAACTCACATGGTCCATGACCCTCGAACGTTGGCTAGAGCAGTCCAAGTCCTTAGTTTTGCATCGACCCAGTCCCCAAATCTCAACTTCTATGCCCAACAAAGCACACGATACGTGGGTCATGCAGGGATGTGTGGACTACATGGAGGGTTCGGCGGGGGTGAGTGCGTGTCTGCTGGCGTTCCTCACCGCTTGCTCCCGAAAAGCGGTTCCTGCAGCATTCAAGAATAGTGGCTGAACCAAAGCTGTATTTGTGCTGACATTACATAGTTCTCTTCAGCCCCTTTGACCAGCTTATGGCGATAGACCCGGACGTAGATCAAGATGGCCAGGTCCGATGGGGCCCCTTGCACAGACATCCAGCACTTCTCCTGAACACTTACACATCAGTGATCCCATGTGGACGGGTAGCAGACGTTTTGAAGTCCCTCTTGTCAAATTTTATCCATCATTCAGGCGCTTGTGTCACCGACCTCGTCGCCGACTTGGAGAGCCACTGCCTCGGCTCCGATGAGTCCCTAGAGCAGATGGGATGTGCTAGAAGCAACCACTTTATGGACCATGACTGTGGCAGGAGTGAGAGATCCGGGATTCAAACTCTGATGATCGCCGAGATGGTCATCTCATAGCTGAAACCATGCAGTATGATGTCAAGCTTCATGGAGACAGTGCCAGCAGGTGTGGGTTGAAGGTTTTGTGCGTTGAGACTGCCTCTGCGCAATTCGATGTTTTCTTGCATGACTTGTCATTGCGGGCGGAGGCAAGGAGCAGTCTCTCCGTTCTTGCTGCTCCGGCCCCCTTTACGGTTGTTGTATCGCCAGGATAGCCCTGAGGGTTTGGGACCACCCCAGATACAAGGCATCCGCTCCGACCACCATACCCTTTTCAAGGTTTTTCGCTCGCAAGCAGCGTCACGTACCAACCTGCAAATCTCACCCGCCCCCTCACGGCAGCCGTGCAAGAGCCCGAGACCCAAGCAACACACATGAGACCTACAATCCTGAACTTCAACTTTGAAGCACACCAGGACCCTAGTTTAAGTCGAAAATCTGCAGCCCCACTTGCCTATGCCAAAGCAACGACTTGCGGCAGGCAGGGAGACGCCAAAGCTGGGCATTGTACGTACACTGACACCTGATCTCGGCTGGTATATGCCCGGGCTCCAAAGAGAACCTGTCTTGGGCACGAAGCTTTTATCCGCATGCTGACGGGCAAGACGCCGCGTTGTACCGCATGCTTCCAGGATGTGAATTGCAGTTCCTTTGCCTCGCGAATGTTGAACAGAAGAGCTGATTCTTTAGGGAGGATTCTTCAAGTTACACACACCGACGCACATTTTATACATACATACATTATCCCAAGAAATATGTACTTACCTCCTACTCCTACTTCTTCTACTACTACTTCTTCTGCTACTACTGCTACTACTTCTACCACTACTTCCTCTTCCTCTTCTTACTAGCACTGCTGCTACTACTACTACTACTGCTGCCATTGCTACTGCCCCTGCTCCCGCTCCGGCTCCTGCCCCCGCTCCGGCTGCTACTGCTCCTGCTCCTACTCCTGCTCTGCTGCTGCTACTGCTACCACCGCTACTGCTACCACTGCCTCCACCACTGCCGCTGTAGTACCACTAATGTTACAGTCATTTTATCAAACGGGGTGACAATTAAAACATTCCCCGGGGCCGAATATCCGGGCGGAAGACGAGATTTAATTTGCGTAGCCAACTTGCCCAAGAAATTGATGTTAGAAGGCGGGGTGACAATAATTTAAGGGGTGACAATTAAAATATTCCGGGCCCCAATTCCCCCCAAAAAATAGGATCCAGGCTAAGTCAAGTAACTAGCAAAAGCTGAAACTAAGAGGACCCTAAACCCAGCCAGCAGAGTGCAGTTCGGCATCCCACTACTACTATACTACTGTACTACTCTACTACTCTACTACTATACTACTATACTACTACTATACTACTATACTACTATACTACTATACTGCTAATACTATTACTACTAATTATTATTACTACTAGTACGACAATCCCCGGACACGGCCAGACATTTATTATTACCACCCTGACCCCAAACCCTGCCCCAAGAGACCCCCCACGCAAAACAAGCTCAGAGGGAAGATTTATCGAAGCGACCGTGAGATTACCACTGCCACTACCACTACCATACTACTGCCACTTCTACTACTACTACTACTGCTACTGCTACTACTACTACTACTATAATCTACTACTACGACTACTAATACTAATACCAATGCTAATACTAATACGAATCCTAATACTGATACTTTCCCGCTACTACTACCACTGCTACTAAAAATACGAATAAGAATAACTACTACTACTACTACTACTACTACTACTACTACTACTACTACTACTCTAGTACTACTACTACTACTACTACTACTACTACTACTACTACTACTACTACTGCTACTTCCACCACCACCACTACTACTGCTATGGCTACTGCTGCTCCTACTCCTGCTGCTCCTGCTCCTGCTCCTGCTGCAGCGATTTCTGGTGCCGAGTTACCGCCGCTGCGACTACATCACTATGTTTGTTCTTATAGGACCGTTGGCTTTAATGGTTAGCGTTTGACTTTCGGGATTCGATCTTGCTCATTTCTAACTCGACTCAGAGTAGATCTATGCTGAAGTTTGAATAGTCACCGAGTTTGATATGTGACGATCAAGGCGGTATTTGGTTGATTGATTCTCGGAGTAATTCTGGCTGTTCATGTTCAGATCTGTGGTGGGTTGTGGGTCCTGGGCAGCGGTAGTACTCATTCTCCTCCCTTGCTGCAGAAGTGATGCAAAGGACCTAGTCTAGGCAAGGCACTTCGATGTTAATGTCGGGCGATTCTGCTGGAAGCAGCCGGGACGTGGATGCAGTGCAACAGCTGCTGAAGCAAAGCTGTCACGAGTCCAAAAGTGCGCTGGCATGTGGTAGTAAGCCGGAAGCTGACAGCGGCTTACACTGATGGAGGTCGGGGTGGTGAT